AGGCCCACTATCCATCCTACACCAATGATTTGGGGGGCCATTCTCACCTGAGGGCCACTATCCCACTGATGCCAATGAAATGGGGGGCAATTGTCCCTTGAGGCCCACTATCCCACCGACACCAATGATCTGGGGGCCCATTCTCCCCTGAGGGCCACTATCCCACCGACACCAATGATCTGGGGGCCCATTCTCCCCTGAGGGCCACTATCCCACTGACGCCAATAAAATGGGCCCACTATCTCTTTGATACCAATAAATTAGGTGGGGGGTGCTATACCAATGACACCACTTGACATACATGTTATATACAATAACATGTATGTTACAATATGTTATATTTTTAAGAATGGCGGCACAAGGAAGCATCCGCCCAATAACCCACCGGACGATGTCCATGGCCTGGTAGAGGATTTCCGATTGGTCGACACCGATCACTTTCTTAGCACCGGCCTTCGCGGCAAACATGGACAGGATCCCGGTGCCGCATCCGACGTCCAGGACGACCTGCAACAGAGAAGTCCAACGTTAGCTTTCCGACTCATCTGGAGCCCGAACACACCGAGATGAAGAATCTGGCATCGTGCCGCACCGAGCAGATCACCGATACACAAAATCCGCCAGTTTTGGGATAGAAAGAGATCTTCCAGAGACTGATAACAGAATCATATTTCGGGATGAAAGGACGGGAGCCGTGTATTGTAAAATGTGAATCCCCACAGCAACCAAATTTGGTTCTTGGGTTTAGATACGCCTTAAAGGCACAGTCCATGACTCATGATACACCCACACTTGGGCCTCATTCACACGAGAATCGGTCGGGACGTACAGCTCCGTGCTGCGTGCGCGGCCGTATCGGGCAGCTCCCGGGAAGGACAGGTGCTGCGTGTGATTAGTACGCAGCCCCCGTCCTTCTCTATGGGAGTACGCGGCCGTACGCCGCCCTACACTCACCTCAAGCGCAGGTCCGTGCGGGTGTCCGCACTCGTACGCTGACAGGATGGATCCTGTCTGTGTCCAAGCCAGGACACCCGCACCCCTACGGACCTGCACTTGGGGTGAGCGTATGGCGGTGTACTCCCATAGAGAAGGATGGGGGCTGCGTACTAATCACACGCAACACCTGTCCTTCCCGGGAGCTGCCCGATACGGCCGCGCACGCAGCACGGAGCTGTATGGCCGTTTCTAGTGCGAATGAGGCCTAAGGAGAGTAGTATCATGGTAGCATACAACATTCCCAAAACCCCAACTGCCCCCCCTTCTTCTTTGTAATAGCTTGAATGCGCTGTGGCTGGGCATGGCTCCACCGGGTCTGCGTCGCTTCCCACAAGGCCCATCTGCCGCCACCCAACAGGGACTCTGCAGAGCATGCTGGCAGCAGCGCCGTGATGTCACAGTACGCTGCAGTCCAGCCGCACTCCCTGCAGCCCCTTAAAAGAACCATACCTCCCTTACTGACCACCTGCTGGGGGAAAATACTGCAAGAGCCTGAGCACTGCACTCACCACGCACTGATCTTGGGTGCAATGCTCTGCGGGCCTCATTGCAAAAATAAAAGCACAACGATCAGGAGATCCGGATTGCTGCAATTTAACGCTTTTTTGTAAAAGGTGGACTGTGCCTTTAAAGTGACATTAAACCCTCAGATTTTTTAACATAAAGCAATACTGTAATGTGCGCCTTACTGTAATCCATGGTCCTTTCCCTTCTCTTTGCTGCTCTTCCTTTTAAATCCTCATGTCTTCTCATGCTGGGGGAGAACTTCCCTTTTCAGCTCAGGGTCTCTTCCTGTAGTGCTGGCTCAGGTTTCAAGCCTATAGAAACTAATACACAGACAACGTGTATCCACTCCTGAGACAAGGCAGTCTGCTGCAAAACAGAAGTTCTCCCCCAGCATGAGAACAGATACGGATTTAAAAGGAAGATCAGCAAAGAGAAGGGAAACAACCATGGATTACAGTAAGGCGCACATTACAGTATTGGTTTATGTTAAAAAATCTGAGGGTTTAATGTCACTTTAAGCACAACAACGAGATAAAACCGCATAAACTTTCCCGGAGCTGCAAAGATACAAAACAATAAACATGAAAAGATACTTTGTATACATTGTTGCAGAAAGGAGGAAACACACAAATGGGCCCCTTAAAGACGCAGCGCCGCGCGGCTCATAGACGTCAACCAGTGGCGTAACAATAGCCATAGCGACCCAGGCGGCCCGGCCAGGACACCCCCCTGATGCCGTGCGGGCCGCCTGGGTCTGAACGCACCGCTGTTCAGATCACCGTGATCTGTGCAGCGCTGCGTTCTTCTCCATTGCCGCTGCTGAGTCAATGAGAGTCAGCAGTGGCAGTGGAGGAGGCTGGACGTGGCGGGGAGGAGGAGGCGGGGCCCGGGG